ATATATATATATATATATATATATATATATATATATATATATATAGAAGAGATAAGTACAGAATGATAATAGTAAGTAGATAGACGTATGAAGAGAGGAAAGACACAGAATAGGTAAACATAATTCGATCAGACATGATTGGATCGATTGATCTGGGAGAATCCTCGTTATACATATGGTATAGTATGTGAAAAAATATAAAAATAACAAGTCAGAGTCGAGCAAGATCGATCCTACGCGTACACCAGTTGCGTGGGATCTTGTGCGACTCTTTCTTAGGTTAAATAATGATACACGATACTTATAAGCCAAGTGTTTTGCCAACCAACACCCAGAGGTCATAGGGTAAGAGAGTTTTAATACTGACCACCGTATATGTATCACGTAGTGTATATACATATATATATATACACATATATATGTATACGCACGTATAACACATATAAAGGAGGGTCTATGGCTTTTTGAGTTATTATTTGTCATATCACATGCGACAGAGCTTGTTATACGGTTCTCGAAAAGATTGCTGGCACCTCGTGCTTTAGAATCCCGTCACGTTACATAAGAAACAAGAGAATCATTCGGAGTTAGTGACTGGTCGTCATGACAACACTAATAATAACGTGAACGGCCAATGTTCGTGTAACGATCGTAATGGGCAACGATCTGGCGTCTCCGTTTTGCTGTGAATGATCTCAGGACTCCATTCCTCGATTATTATTTGGGTCCGTGTAATGAAATTGTTGTACGGAATGCTTGGCTGCGCGACAACTGGATAGACGTGAAACACGAAGTCAATGACTCGATTGGTACTGGATGAGAGCGTGATTGAATATCGGTGTCGAGATTGTCTTTGAAGGATCCGTGACAGTTAATGATCTCACGTGAGAGATGCGAGGCTGACGAAATCACTGATTCTCTATTGTCGTCTGGCACGAGATTCTTTGTAACTACAGACTTCGTCTTTGCTGCCGCGTATATCTGGGCGACTTTTTTTCTTTTTAATATCAATTCTTTGAGCTGCTTTGACTTACGACTAATTTCTCTTTTTGACCTTCTATTTTTTTTTTTTTTTTTTT